GGTAACATCATTGAAAAACAATAATAGTTATGATAAATATATTTTGTGTGATGTAAAATCCTCCCCATCACAGAGTTCACACCCCCATCCAAACCATCATGTCTCACGGGGCCCATTCACAGTTGGTGTTGAAGCAGAGCTTTCATTAGATGTAGGCTGGAAACAGAAACATCATAGTAGAAATAAGCAAATCAAACAACGGAACAATACCAATTCTGTTATTACTGCAGGACTTATTCGTGAATTGTGCAGTTTGTCCTCACATGTGTGGAGGGATCCATGTTGCTGGCATCAGCTATGGTTGCCAAATAGACGATGTTGCGGTGCAGAATCTGTTGATATCTGTTGGGGAGAAAAAAGAACAGCAGCTGAAAGCAATGATTAGAAAAGAGACGCGTATCCGCATAGATAACGTTACACAATACAACTCACGACAGTGTGCGGACCACTGGATGTTCATTACATAAGAATGCATTAGCAGTTAGCTGCATCGGTAACAGACACTGAGGGTTGTTTTGACTTACTGCACACACTCCATTGCTCGTCCTTTCTGCTGGTATTCAGCGATGCATCGAATTATCTGGTCGTTTTCATCCAGCAACTGGGACAGACGAAAACAAATGGACTAATATGCATTAGCTAATGTGTTGATTTTAACACGTGTTGGCTACCTTTGGAAACAAAGTCACTGAGTGCAACACCAAACATTTCCACCAAGAACAGCCCTAAATGGATGCTGGTCTTCAGCGTGCACAAGGCCAAACTGAGTAAACAAAGATAGAATGATGGATAAACAAGTGAAGTAACCAACACTAGCTAGCGGCTAACTACCCAAGCTCCCATCATAGTTTAATGTACGGGAGAATAGGCTAATAGCTAGTTAAATGCTATTTACTGGTGTCTTACCCTCTGTATTGTTTCTTGGTTAATTTTCGCCCTTCCTCGCAGTTTCTTTGGCACAAAGACAATCGACATATTTGTGAAGACAAAGTTGGTTTTGCCGCTTGTTTATGTTTGCGACAGAGCGATGCTTCTTCTTCTTTGTTTCTACCTCTTTCGTCGAGTTTTTCTTCTTCTTCGTTCTCTTCCTCGATCGACGCACGTACCATTGTTGTTGCACTACCGCCATCTTCTGGAGAGTTGCAGTCTAGCAATGTGACAAAATACATCCGTTACAATTTTCTAGCTAAGCTGATTTATATTTTGAATATTTAGCTCACATTTATCGCGTATCGTGAAGATACGAGATACATTTGTGGAAAATATGCATTTGTGCAGAGTGCAATACTTTTCCATGACCTCACTCATCGACAGAGCTTCTATGACCAGTTAGTCGAGGGTTTGAAGTACTACGAGGGAAGTTTCAACTTAAATGTAACTGTA